GCGTGGGAGGCCTGCCACAAGCCCACCTTCCCTGCCACCTTAAACCCTTCCAGCAAGATCATACAGTCTTCTAGGAGGTGGCTAAAAATGAAAGCTGCTGCAGTCCTCACTGACCCCTTTCCCATCACAGCTACCGATACCCATCCTCTGAGGTACCACTGATGCCCATGGAATTACACAGCAATTCAGTCAGAAACTAACCCAGAAATAAACAGTGATTACTTCTCAGTTGGTTCAGTTCCCCTTGTCAAACCCAGTGGCCAGTCCCAGGGGTGACAGTGGAGGTGATGGGATGGCGCAGCCGGCATGCTGTGGGGCACATGGCAGGACTGCAGCTGCCCTGGCTTACAACAGCTCAAGCAGCCACAGAACTTTACCTGTAGGTTGCAAGAAAAAAAAAAAAAAATAGCAGAAACCTGTGTTTCAAAAGCATGGCAACCTTGGGTAGGCCATTTGACCTCACACCTCAAACAAGCACACCTGACACTGGGCAAAAAAGGACCTTATTAAAACAAAACGAAGTAAGAGCAAAACCGCCAATGCCTATCTGAAGTGACTTTCATACTCATGCCAATAATAAAAAAAAACCAATTAGTTTATGTTTTCTGCTCTTCATTCTATCAACACAATCCAATGTGAACATTTACAAAATTACTCATTAAACACAAAATAAAGGATTAGTCTTTATAGACACACAGAGCCTACTGCTGACACAAGCTTCTTTACTGCAACAACAAATTTGCAGATATATCATTTGAAAGCTTTTTCCTGTAAGTCTGCTCTAGCTTTCTCACAATAGCAGAAAGGTGTATTTTGCTATTATCCCTTAAGTCTCGATAAATATATTCTGTAGTAGCTGTTCTCCAGACAGCTTCATTCAGGCCTCTCCCCCTTTATTCCTCCACTCTAATAGGGAACAGTTTCTGTTTATGACTTCCTTTCCTTCACAGAGTACCTAACTCCCATGTTTTCTCAGAAGCTTGAGATTTCCTTCTAATTGTGACCCCAACACAAGTGCTCAGAGCACTATTCTGTGCAACTTTTCATTTGGGCTCTCAGTGACTCCACATGGTCAGAGACCCACAGGTCAAACCCTCCAGATATCAGAGCAGTTAAGAGAAGGAAAGCAAGCATTGTATAGGATCTGACAGGCCATTAGAAGTAGCTAATAAAGCCATATTTTGTTTGTAGCCATTTGTTACAAACCCACATTACAAATTTGTCCGCTTTGAACTTTATGGGAACATTCATGCCAGGACTTTTATATACAATGTGTGAAGGAAACGGAACAACTATTGAGCTGTTTAGCTACGCTTACTGTGACACAAACCTGCTCAAAAAACTCCCCCAAAGGATGACACAAGCCAGCACAGTGCCGTAGAAAGTGGTCAGCTCCTCTTCAAATCCATCAAAGGGAAACTTTTTTCAAAGCCACATCAGAGAATACCATTCACCATTTAGTATTACATCTCTTTTGTTGTTTTTAGACACTTGTATAAGCTTGCTATGTAGCTGCTGTGATTTTACACAATGCCCTTAAGAAATAAAAAGATAGCAGGCAAATTGTATAAATACCAGAATACCATGAAACAAAACATAACCAAATTTTATTAGAAGCCTAATACCACTGCTCTCATTTCAAGCTTCACCGTACAAAGACAACTTACTGACTACTACCCTGACAAACAGCGTTATCTTGAACACAAGCTTAAGAAGCCGTATTTACTATCCCAAAATGACATTACAACTAGGAATACTAAACAAGGGATAGTGATCACGGGTTTTCATAAGCAGTTCAAAACTGAATACCAAACTCTCTTGCTCCAGGGAAAAAACACCATGTTCATATGATCAAGCCACCCATACCCCAAATAAGAGTTATATTAAAGCATTTATTATGTTCACCATACTTTGAATGTATGGATTGTTCCTGATTTCTAAGACATTTTCCTTGGATGTAAGATGATGAGGAGTTTGCTCACACTAAAAAAAAAAAAAAAAAAAAAAATCGTATTGTTGCCACATACGAAGGGTTGCAGTTGCTTTTAAATTTTAAAAACAAAATAAAAAAAACCCCAACCAACCAAACAAAAAGCCTCACCAAAAACCCCAACCCAAACCAAATTACAAAATGGTAATACCTCCCACTCTCCTCCATATCAAACAGCAAGGGGTTTGAGTATATGAAGTGCTCTCTAGTTAGGTAGCAAAGCTTTTCAGTAATGAAGTGTCTCAATAACAGCATTTGGGACCAACTCAGAGTTTAAGCTATGTGGCCAAAATGGTTAACATTCACTGTTAATACTACCAGCTTACTCATACCTAGAATAATAATGAGCTACTAAATATACCAAACACTCAGGGACACAGATAATACCCAGTACTCTGCTTGGATATCATGATGATGGAGGTAGGACAGAGCATGGATTAAAAGTAGGACAATTGTGAAAGAAAAACCACAGGCAAATTAGTAGAACATTAGTTGATAAATAACTTTACTTCTCACTACTCTAAAAACTTGAAAAACTGAGTGGTAAAAGCCCCTTTTACTATCACTGCTTTTTAAAGTAGGTAGTTGTTGCCAAAACAGTTCAATGTCCACAGTCGCTTCTGTTTTTAAGGTAACTGCCAGCATTCGTTTTTGAGACTCATTCAGAGAAATTAGTCTTTTAAAAAAAGGTTTAATACTAGGTTCAAAGCAAATGGGTATCTCTTCTCACACCAGTTTCCAAAGCTTCTCCTGAGACATGCATGTCTCAAACATCATGTAAAGAATCTGCAGCACATATACTCTCCTAGGTGCCAAAGATATAACTTTAAAATGCTATGAAGATGTTTATCGCCCTATTTTTAGGGCGATTATTTTTTTATTTATTTTTAAAATATACAACATACTACCAGATTTCACAAATGCATTTGTTGTCTTGATACAGTAAACTCTTCAGAGAGATCCTTCTGTTAATTGCAAATGAATACATACCCAGTGAACTGCAGGAAATATCCTCTATGTTTATGATACATTATTCCAAGCCAGAAGTCACACAGTCTATAAAAAGTTTTCATCATTTAAGCTGAACATATTCTAGTTGGTTTCAATTCATGCTAGTTTACTACCATCAAACAAGAAAATCCCTAAACCATGAGGGACACACAGAGACAAGGCGACGGAGTACTTTTTCCATTATAGTGAAATAACACCTTCAAAAATGCAAGTAGCTGCAATGTCTTTGCGAAGTATATTGAGTTGTGCTGTTTCCCTCCCAGCAGAACGCATAGAGCTCAGAAAAACTAAGAAATGTTAGTCCAACATAATCTCCTAACCAAAGGATCAACTAGCCCAAGTATCACTATCATTCCCACTTCTACGCTACTGTAGTAATAGACGGTAGCAGAATTAGCATGTCAGACTCATTACTGACGCTCACGGTTTGGAGCAAATAACTCCTGGCGGCAGTATTCTAAACCAGAACTCACTGAAAACCTTTTGAAAAAGGCACAGAAAAAAGCCTTTTCCTCACCAGATTGTTTTGTGCAAATATGGAATACCTAAAGCTAAAATATCAATCCACTTTCTCTATACAAATACACCTGTGCACAAGCACAAAACACGCACCTGCATAAATAGTGCTATTTTGAACCAGAACAAGCCAAAGTGAAGTCCACTCATATACAAGCTGTATGTTCTCATACTTTTAAAAACGGTTTCTGATCAAACGTGTTTATTATTTCTTCTTTCAGTATTTCTCATCTGCTCATCCTAGATGCAATGAAATGCTATGTAAAGTGCTTTCATTTTAAAATATCAAAACAAACATTAGTTTCTTACTGGTAAGCTTGATGGTCTTTCTTGCTGGATTAGATTCAAGTCTTCATGATTAGGCTTTCCTGGGGCCATAGGGGGTTGAGATCTGGTTCCATAGCCTTCCTGAGACATGTCCTGCAACAACAGTTGTAACAGAATTATTAACCTGACACAGTAATTACAATTAAATCCAAATCACTGAAAGATGCAAATACAACATCCGAGTGCTGATGGGTCTTTTGATCGGAAGTTTTTACTAGTTAAACCTTCTTGATGAAGTATGAAGCCCACACAGGTACCACCATGGCCTGCACTGTTCGTAAAGAACTCCAGGGAGCAGAGCGACATGCCGACAAGCAGCCAGGAATCATACCACTGGAACATGGAGAAACACACAAAACCAAACCTGCTAAATAAACGACCTTGTTTTACTGTAAAACAGTAGCAAGCGTGAAACAGTCAAAACATTCATCCTACTCCGAGATGTATTCTCAAGCGTTTTGGTGAAGTAGTGAGCCAGGTGGAAGACGGAACTTGAAAATAAGATTGTAATCACGGTGTGTAATCAGAGTCTTGTAACAACTCCAGATTTACCATCACTACTACTGGCACAACTTTCACACCCTGGCTGTCGGGTGGCAGGACACAACGCAGTCGCTGTATCTGCTGGAGGCACGTTGCGTCTGACGGGTTAGAAGGAAAGTGTATTTAATCAAGAGTAGTTCCAAAGCCTGTACCAGCAACCTGGGGATTTTCCTCCCTGTACAAGCCCAAGCAGCCTTAGGTAATGGCTGAACACAGCACCCAGCACACAGGGGCGGGGGGAGCAATGGAACAACCTCCCTCGCGCCATCCCCCATCCCACAACACAGGCTTACTTCACACGTATAGATACTTGCCCATCGCAAAGCCTTACATTCAGGCTTCATTTTAGCTACTATAGCAGCTTCTACACAACGTCTTCAAGGAAAACAACAGAACGTGCAATACTGACTTCAGCATGTGTCGCTGGCAGGGAAAGTTGAAGAACCAGTTCCCGGCTGCTAGAAAAGATACCTCACCATAGAGGGTTTTTTTTGTTGTTCTTAAATGGTTTAATTCTGCTCTCCCCCTCCCCAGTTTACTACCAGTTCAATCTGCTTCAGCCACCCTCACACCTTCAGTTCCGACACGTACCTGAACGGACGCGGGGGCTCCTGGCGCGAAGAGGCAGGGGAGGCTGTCCTCTGCCCCAGCCCACCGCAGCCCGAGCATCACCTCGCCGCCGCAGCTTATAGAGGGCAGTTCTGACCACCGAGTGTCCCTATCAGCAGAGTTACTGCTCACGCACAGGCTCGGCGAGGCAGCTGGCTTGCAGAGCAGGAAAGCTTTCTGTCTCTGTTTTTAGCTCAGCTCCTGACAGAGGGAAATTTGTTAACAACCGTACTGTTTCCATTCAGCCCCTTCCACTACTCTGGACTCTCCTGAATTATTTTAAGTGACGCAGAAAATTCAACGGGGCTAATAAAACAAACCCCAGAAAACCTGATACGATGTAAACCCAGCAATAAACGATCCTATCCCTAAGCCTGTGCCAAGTAAAATCAAGAAACACTTAAAAGGCCAGCACTTCAATGTGGTTACCAGCAGAGGGTAACAATTAGGCTTAAGGGTGACAAAGGCTGATGGCTGAATGATTATTATCCCCTGTGACCCCCCGCGCTCCCCCCCCGCCCAGATTTCCACTTGTCACACAGCTCTCCTGCTGCGCGCACCAGCAGGTTCCTGTGGATTAACAGTGAGGTTTAAAATCAACAAACGGCACAAGGCCTCCATTCAGCAGCCTTCACCCCAGTACAAAGGAGTAGAAAGGTGCAGGACAGCTTCACAATAGGCAAACAAATGAGCAAACCTCTGCTTTCCTTTTTATTTAAAAGCGCGCGCACGCACACACACACACACGCTCACGCACGCTAGGGGCTGTCACTGCATAGGCATCTCTCATAAACCCAGCCACCTCAGATTTCAACTTCCAGTTCGGGGGGCCACTCTCTTCTTCCTAATTCTTAAAATAATTATACCAAATAAGAACCACTTATAACAACAGAAAACACCCAAAAATACCAAGAGTGGTGAAAAAAGGATAAATGGAATATTCAATTTAGGAGATGTCATTTTAGAAACAGAATTGTTCCTTTTTTCCAAACAGACACTACAGGATTCTGCTGGGAAGCAAGACATAGTTTATATTTTGAAAAATCAAGATCCATTAATTACTTACAAAGTACCAAGCATGGTTTTTGCCACGTTTGCAAGATTTTAACCTCACTTCCTACTGAAATTTCCAGGGGGACCGGAGCAGGAGAGGGAAGAGATGGCACGATTTCTCATGAGACATATCGCGTGTTTACTTTTACCTGGATATTTGAAGACTATCTATGAAATGCCTTTCCACACACTGAAGAGTACATTAGAGACCCTAGACCTGACACTCTTTGTCTTTTTTAATACACCATTTTCATAGTGTTTTCCTTTCTGACTGTGGAAAAATCAAATCCATTTGCTCAATTCTAGGTGAGGTTTGGAAACAAATACTGCAAACACTGCAGTGTTTGTTATGATGCGGATACCTGTGCACTCCGAACGGGACTGAGATCACATACTTTTTCTTACATTCTCCGTATAAGCCATTTAGATACTTGGATCACTGGAGACTTGGAGAGCAGCTCTTGAGAAGTAAAGAATCCGTTTGCTTTCAGTAAGTTGCAGGCATGGGAATCTCCCAGATGAAATATGCATGGGGCTGTGTGTATAATTTTATGTGTTTATACATATGCATTGTCCAATAAAAACAGTCCATTTATATACTAAACATAATGACTATTAAATAATAGCATATTTCACTAAGAGGTTGGCTTCATAACCAAAATAGTGCTTAGTATCATTTTCACTGAAAAACGGAGAAAAAATCCCTACTGCCTTTCTTCAGTTCTGCATTAGGAAATTCTGTTAGCATAGAGCATATTCCAGAATAGATACAACAGATTTTGAGAGATAAGTAAGAAGTAAGGACAGAAGCATTAGGGTAAATTGTCCATCACTGAAGACACACATGGAACTGGCAATTCTCACTTTCAGTTTTGAAAGGTCATTTTTCTCTCTAGCATCTAGGGATGGATTTATTGGGGACTGAACAAAGGGAACATAAGGGGAAGAGGAACGTGCTACCATGTGTTGTGCTACAGTCATGGCTGAGGAGTCCCCCATTGATACTGGGGCTCAATCTTCTCCTGGCATCCCTGGTTTTTTTCCTTTTGACTCCCAATATTTCATCCATCAATGCCATCGGCTTTCAAAGCAAAGCTTATGATTTTTTTATGAATCACAGAAAATACTTCCTCCCATAGAAGAGCATGTGTGTAAGAAATCCAGGCTTTTATAAACAGAAGGCTACAAGTTTCCACTCAAAACTTCCCCACTTGGCACAAACCCAATCATATCATAGCTGTTATAACACAAACTGTCAACAAAGTTGTAAAATAACTAAAAGCAGGGTTTCCCCCATCAGATTTTAGAAAAGGCACAGGGACAAATAATCAGCAAGTCATAAACATATACTCAAAATAGCTGAAGTTTAGACTTTTTAGACTTTTCAAAAAGCATTTATACTGTGAAATAGGTAGACAAAAAAAAAAAAAAAAGAAAAAGGACTATGCTTACATATACACAGCCTAAAACCTGGTAAGCTGTCCAGAAATCAATCCATATAAAATTATTATATTTGGGTAATCATAGAATCATAGAATGATTTGGGTTCGAAGGGACCTCAAAGATCATTTAGTTCCAACCCTGCTGCCATGGGCAGGGGCACCCTCCACTAGACCAGGTTGCCCAAAGCCCCATCCAACCTGGCCTTGAGCACTGCCAGGGATGGAGCATCCACAGCTTCTCTGGGCAACCTGTTCCAGAACCTCACCACTCCAACAGTAAAGAATTTCTTTCTAACATCTGATCTAAATCTACTCTCTTTCAGCTTAAACCCATTACCCCTTGTCCTGTCACTACACTCCCTGATAAACAGTCCCTCCCCATCTTTCCTGTAGGCCCCTTCACGTACTGGTAAGCTGCAATTAGATCTCCCCGGAGCTGCCTTTTCTCCAGGCTGAACAATCCCAACTCTCTCAGTGTGTCCTCATAAGAGAGGTGCTCCATAAGAACCAATTGCTTATGATCCACAGAGCCAGGACTAGTTATTTACTTCCTGTTCACATACACTTTTAGCTTGCTCTGCAAATTGTGGTATATGGAGCTCAAGATTTGTGTAGTCTGAGGAGTAAGGGAGGACACGGGGTATTTTCTTCCCTTATTCTCTGTTACTGTATTAATCTTACAAACTTTTAAAGTCTCTAATTCTGCTGTGGGATTTCATTAACACAGAGTGTTTAAAGCGACCAAGTAAGCCAATGCACCAGCCTACAAGAAAGCCGAAGGCCCCTTGTTCCTGCCTCCCACACCCTTGCAGCTGGACACCCCTCCAACCCCTTTGCTTGTGTTAGCGGTCTTTATCAGACCACGTTGTGAAATGATGCAACTTAAAACTTGCCAGAAAAGTAACCCCCTTCCCCCCAGCTTTATCACGGATTACTGAGCAGAGCTGGCCTCGGGAAGGGTTGGGTGAGGGAGGAGACGAAGGAAACTTCCCTCCGTCAGCAGCAGCAGCCAGCCACAAGCCCGGCTCCACCAGCCACCAAACTGCAGCCCAAGTCAACTGCACTGTGACCACTATGGAGCAGTCCACAGACAGACAACCTTTCCCCTTTTGATGTGCAATGCTCATTAGTGTCATGCTTTCATTCTCAAGCTGGACCTAGTTTAAAACAAGCAAGTCTGTCCACATTTACATGTTCTCTGCAAACCTGAATGAATACAGTGCTGATAATGTTTGAAACCATGCAGATGAAATGCACGTTTGTTATAAGTTCTACCAAAGAAGATAAGATCTAATTATTAAATTATTTTTAATGGAAAATGAAAGCATAGTGAACACATTAATGTTTGGGGGAAACCACATTTAAAGAAGAGCTGGGTGAGAAATATCATTCAGGCTTCATCCACTTCTACTGCAGCAAATTTCAGAGGGATAACATGACCACTCA